CATTGAGTCATGTGATCAAGGTGGAGAAGATCAAGACAAGACTTGGCTTGATGGACCGGTTGCAAGCGTGAAGGGCAAGTCGAAGGCTTTGGAGTGATGGACCGCGTGGCGGTGAAGCTTGAGCAAGACTTGGCGCCGATGAACGATGGCAACGGTGAAGAGCAAGTAAAGTCAAGATCGATGATCCAATATGATCACGTGATGATATGAAGTGGATCATATCATTGTTGATCATGTTGGTGCATGTGTTGCATCGACATTGGAGGAGATGGAATGGAATACGCAAGGCAAAAGTATAACCTAGGGCATTTCATTTCACCGGTCATAGGTGTGTAGAGAAGTATATGATCGGGTTTAGGATAGATGGCCGTACTATCAAGAGGGGCAAACTTGTTTGCATATCGATCATCTAGTGCCACTCGAGTGATCTAACTTTGCATCGTCGCTAGGATCGAGTGGCGTGGCAAGTTGAGTGGCTTACATCCTTTGGGAAATGATTGTGAAAAGCTAACACACATACACATGGTGGTGTACACTTGGTGGTGTTGGCACATTTTACAAAGGAGGTGGTGTTTGCATGGTTGAGATGGATTCGGCGCTTTCGGGAAAATGGAATGCCTATTTTCTATTGCGTCGGATGTAAATTCTTGTGGTTAGCACATTGGAGCAAGGATAAAGAAGTTAGAAGTGAAAACGAGTTGATCGCGAAGATGCTGGCGTCGGTCTACTGACCGGACGCTGGGTCATGCAGCGACCGGACGCTGAAAGGCTGCGTCCGGTCAAACTGACGGGTCTGCACTGTACCGAGGGCATTGCACCGGACGCTGATCTATGTCCGTTCAAGGTGGACCGGACGCGTCCGGTCGAGAAAATATGTCTCGGGGAGCTTACTAGAAACGACCAGACGCTAGGGCTTCAGCGTTTGGTCAGTTTTACCGCTGCGTCCGGTCAGGTCAAGTGACCGTTGGGATCGGGACGCGTGGCCGTCTGCGGACGACCGGACGCTGAGGTCCAGCGTCCGGTCAACTCGACTGGAGCGTCCGGTCAGCCCGACTTTTGCCCAGTGAAGGGGTAACAGCTAGTTTAGCCCTTGGGGCTATAAATAGAAGTGGCCCTCGGCCATGGCTGGAGCTGAGCACCTTGGGGGACTTAGTGTCCATGCTTGTGAGTGCTTGGGAGCCCTCCATCACACATATACTTGATAGTGATCATTCGATTGTGTGAGTGAGCGATTCTAGTGCGATTGCATCGTGAGGTTGCATCAAGTGGCACTAGGTGATCGAGTTGCAAGCCGGTGGTGCTTGTTACTCTTGGAGGTTGCCACCTCCTAGACGGCTTGGTGGTGGTCTCCGTCGAAGCCCGTAAGAAGCTTGTGCGGTGCTCCGGAGAAGTGCTTGTGAGGGGCATTATGCTCGCCCCGCAGGAGCCGCGAAGAGCAACTCTAGTAAAGCGTGTCATTGAGCTACCCTCACTGAAGGGGTAGGTTCTTGCAGCGCCCGACGTGCGGGCTTAGCGGGTGATGCTAATTAGCCGCCGAACCACCAAGTGAGCGGTCGACACAACGGGGACTAGCGTGTTGTCAAACACGTGAACCTCGGGAGAAAAATCATCGTGTCAACCTTGTTCTTCCCGTTGATTTGCATCCCCATTACACAAGCTTGCAATTACTTTTATACATATTAAGCTTGTGTAGTTGCTCTTGTAATTAGATAGCTTGTGTAGCTTGCTAATTACCTTTTTGCTTGTGTAGCATAGAAGTAGCTCCCTTGCGTGGCTAATTTGGTTTTAGTAACCTTGTTAGTCACATTGCTTAGTTTGTGTAGCTAAGTTCTTGCGCTCTCTAATTAGGCATTGGTTGCCTTGTTATTAAGCATTGCTAGTGAGCATAGTTAGCTTTGTGCTTTTGCTTACTAGCATGTGTAGGGGCTCTCTTGTTGCTTAAAATACTAGTGGCATAGGTTTGTGTAACCTTGCTCTTAGAATTGTTTAGGAGAGCTCTAGATAGCCCGGCACCTTTGTTGCATAATTTGTATCTTAGCAAGGTGCTAGTAAATATATATAGAGGGGTGTAGTCTTGGCTAGACCGATTGTTTTAATTCCGCATTTATATCGGTTAGCCGACGCGATTAATTTTAGAAATAACTATTCACCCCCCCTCTAGTCACCATCTCGACCCTTACACTTAGCCGAACCGCTACCGCCTCCCCTTCGTCAATGACGCGACCGTGCCACCGCGCTGTGCCACCGCACGGTCGTCCACACGTGGCCAGCCTTCCTCCGTCACCCTCTGCCCCAACCGTCACCTCGGACTGGTACATGGTAGCCTCCTGATGCTCACGAGCTAACCAATTAAGCCTGTAGCTACCCCAGCCTACCGGAATAGTGGCGCCGCCGTCGCGGATGGCCACGCGTCGCTGTACCCTTTCCCAGCCAGTCGTGTCCCCCTGCACCTCCGCTTAGCGCACCCGCTCGGGTAGAAGATGGTGACCGACCTATTAGGTGGGCCCGCGGTGGTCCCAGGTGGCCGACGTAAGCGCCCAGTGCCGCCGCTCGTCGCGCCGCCGTGCATTGAGTTGTCGAGGGTGCGCGTGGGGTATTAGGGAATGGCTAGGGGGTTAAGTGAGAAGTTCTGAGGGAGAAGGTAATAGTGTTAGTACTTAGTTGTAATTTGAGAGAAGTGTGAGGTCTCTTTTGCAAAATCGCCAGCGCGCGTGGGATTCCCCACGCCGCGGGCCGTCTTGTGCTGCTGGCTGGCCTCGCGTGGGCCGCACCGTGGGCCGCCGATCGCTCGCTGCGTCGCGTGGGCCGCGCGGGAGAATTCGTCTTTCTTTTTCATAAGGAATTAGAAATAATTTTCTAAGTTAATTTTTGAGCTAATCTTTGGTAAATAATATAAAATCATGTAGGTGTCCAAAAATTATAAAACATATTTTGTTATATTCCTAAAATTATGCTCTATCTGTGAGTATATTTAGTTCATATATATACATGTTGATATAAGGAGCTATTAAATCATTTGAGAGTGCTTAATATTATTAGGATAAATATGGTAGGAATTTTTGTGATGAATTGGTGATAGATTTAGTCCTGAAAATTTTATAGAAGCTTCATTATATTATTATGTGCTCACTGTAATTTTTGTAGCTTTAGAATAGACTAAACATTATGATAGTTAAATGCTCTTTGTTTCAATATACATTAAATCATTAGTTGGAATAAAGATATATCATTTATTTGTAAAGATAGGTGTTTGTTAGTTGAATCCAACACCTTGCTGGATGAAAATGATAGTTAGCTTAGTATCTTAGTTATTAGAGCTAGCTGGTTAGCTTAGTATGCGTATTCTTGGTTTAATAGTTGATATTGCGTAAATGTTAAGTGTTGCATCATCATCGCATGCATGTAGAAAATGAGTTGGCGGAGATCGTGACCACCGGCGATCGCGAGTTCGAGGAGATCGTCGAGGAGTACGAGAAGGAGATTCTCGTGTAGGAGGAGGTCCCGAAGCCGTCACTGTCTGACTCAGCTGACACCTCACCTGTCCAAGGCAAGCCCCGGTGCATAACCATTATTTTTTATAATCACTGAATATATACATATGTGATGTATATTTACGTTACAGGATTTTATGAAAACCACATGCATAGATATAACTATTCTATGAGTCCTAGTACAGGTTCGAGTAGCTGCTATGCTTAGGTTTTCGGTAGCGTGAGTAACCTACCATTACTTACGATAGGTGATTATTATTACTCTCATGATAAAATGATGAAAGAAAAAATAGAGACATGATAAGAATATGGTATGGGTATTGGTGGGTGTAACAGGTTGTGTTCCGCGACTAACAGGGCTTAGCTTGGTTATACTATTTTCCCTGTTCGTGTCGATTAAGGACCGTCCGTTGCTGTGGATGGTAGTCAGGTCACAGACTTATTATCCTAAGCACATACTTGCTTATGGGAGCGGGAAGGCTAGTTATGCTTTTATCGTGGGTTCTGACTTTTTTCGGAACGACTGATTGGAGGCGGAGAAATATAAAGGTCTAAGCACCATACTGAGACCGGGTCTCAAGTGTGGGGACTTGTAGTCCAAGTTTGGACAGGGACCTGAACCCCGTGACAGGAGTGAAATGGGTTGGTCTTGTTTGTGCCTAAGGTACAACGGAGCTTGTGTTTCGGGGTACCCAGCTGAGATATATTGGTTCGCGAATCGTCGTTTTCGTAGGATGGTATGACTTGGATATGATCTACCATCATAGTAAGAACTGTAAGATGAAAGAAGATAAAATGATTCTGATTGCTCAACCTTTACTTGAAAGTAGAACAATTACTTATCTACAATGGTTAGCTAATAAAATAATCATGACTGTTAATAAAACTTGACTGTAAGGATGAACTATTATTAATGCTTTTCGCAAAAAACGAAAACAACAAACTCATATTGTCTATCATATCCTTGAGAGTTGGAAAACTATTCCCACTAGTCGGATAAGTTTTACGAGTACATTTTGTACTCAGGATTTATTTTACCTCTGTTGCAGGTGCAGCTGGAGGAATAGCTTTTGTATGGAGGATTCTTCTGCTGTGCATAGACGGATCCTTGTATTGTTTCCGCTAGATGTTTATTTTTATTCCGCTGTTTAATTATCGCACTCTGAACTCTGATATTGTAATAAATAATTTTCAAGAACATTGGTCGTATGAAATGGAAAGTACTGTAAGCTCGTACTCATTATTTATTTTGAATTTATAACGTGGATTGTTTTGAATTCTCTCTTGAGGTGTGCTCGACGGAACTGTTCGATATAGCTCATTTTAAAGGTGTTTAGGGTCAGTGTAAGACGAACGACCCCAAAACCGTGTTATTTCGAACCACACAAATCGGATCGCAGCCGGGTCATCGTCGCACAGGCCGGTACGGGGAGCGGGAGCGGCGGCTACAAGGTGGCCATCCTTGGCGCGGCGGTAGGGATCGGGCAGCCGCTCTCCCTGCTGCCCAAGATGTCCCCGCTCGTGTCCTCGCTGCACCTGTACGACATCGCCAACGTGGAGGGCGTGACCGCCGACCTGAGCCACTGCAACACCCCGGCGCAAGTCGCCAGCTTCACCGGTAAAGACGAGCTAGCGGCCTGCCTGTCGCCCCGGAAGCCCGGCATGACGCGGGACGACCTGTTCAGCGTCAACGCGGGCATCGTGCGCCACCTCGTGGCGGCGGTGGCGGACCACGCGCCGGGCGCGCTGGTCCACGTTATCAGCAACCCGGTGAACTCGATGGTGCCGATCGCCGCCGAGGTGCTGAAGCAGAAGGGCGCGTACGACCCGCGAAGGCTGTTCGGCGTCACGCCCCTGGACGTGGTCCGCGCCAACGCGTTCGTGGCGGCGAGGAGGGGCCTCCCGGTCGCGGACGTGGACGTGCCGGTCGTGGGCGGCCACGCGGCGGCCACCATCCTGCCACTGCTGTCCAAGGCTCGGCCCAAGGCGGCCGCAGCGGCGTTCACGGACGAGGAGGTGGAGGAGCTCACCGCCAGGATCCGGGACTCCGGCACCGAGGTGGTGGAGGCCAAGGCCGGCGCAGGGTCCGCCACGCTGTCCATGGCGTACGCCGCCGCACGGTTCCTCGAGGCGTCGCTGCGCGGCCTCGACGGCCACGACGACGTGTACGAGTGCGCGTACGCGCAGTCGCAGGTGGTGCCGGAGCTCCCGTTCTTCGCGTGCAGGGTGAAGCTCGGGAGGGACGGCGTGGAGGAGGTGCTGGGCTCCGAGCTCAGGGGGCTCACCGACTACGAGGCGCGCGAGCTGGAGGCTCTCAAGCCCAAGCTCAAGGCCAGCATCGACAAGGGCATCGCGTACGTGCAGCAGAACCAGGAGGCAGCATTGAACTGAGCCTGTGAGCCACAGCCTCTGGTCGGGCTGGGGAATTGGCCGCTGTTTCGTCGGTGCTTGTCTGTGCCAGTTTTGTACGTAGCACAGGGCACGCCCTTCATTCTTTTTTAGTGGACGTAGAATGGTACAGTACAGTCAAAATGGCTGCGGAGCAAATTCAGCTCGGCTTCGTTCAAGCAGATCAACAGAACCAAATGCCTAGAACGGTGGGAACTTGACCATGTCGGTGCACCGCGCTGCTCCGGCAGTGGGCAGTGGACGAGCGTCCGTCCGTCGAGGCCGACGCACTGGAACACCTGGTACAGCTGCGTCTCGTTGCGCTCGTTGCGGTTGCACTCCACCATCGGCGCGGAGCCCGTGGCCGCGGCCACTGCGTCCCGGATGGTGCGGAGGCAGTACTCCTTGTCGTCGGACGGCACGACGCCGGCGTCCAGCAGGATGCGGGTGAGGTTGAACCGGGCCTTGAGCTCCAGGGCGGCCAGGAAGTAGGAGTGCTGGTCCATGTTAGAGCAGGTGCCGTGCCGGCTCCACTCGTGGTTCCAGAACTGCGTGTTGTCCCTGTTCTTGCACGACAGCGTCCCCCAGTTCCGGCGCAGGTCGCTGTCCAAGTCCCTGATCTGCAGAGTGCGAGTGCCGAGTGCCGTCAGACCATGGCCATGGTGGATGGTGCAGAGTGCGAGGATATCTGTGGGTGCACCGGTACTGAATGGTAGTGCACCGTGTACGTACCTGCGACAGGTCGAGAGGAGCGGTGGCGTTGCAGGAGTCCGGCCAGCAACTGGTCTTGTTGGGGGGTTCACGGCGTCGGGCCGGCACGCGGCGTACTCTGACCAGAGGCCGTGGATGCCGAAGTCCGCGGCCGGCTTCTCGCCGCCCGGGAAGCAGCGGGTGGCATTTGTGTTTGTGTTGCAGTAAGAGCCGGGCCACTGTACAAGCAAGTAACAGCAGTCAAAACAGTGTATGCATATTGCATATCCAAATATCCATAACAATCTGCTGGACGTGGTGGCAATGGCAATCGACCGGAGATTGTAGCTACCTGCTGAACGTGGTGGAAGAAATCGAAATCGGTTGCCGCGGAGGCGACGACGAGAGGAAGCAGGAGAACGGCGACGGCGAGGGGGCCGTGGTGGGCCATGCTCTTGCTCTGCTTATGTTTTGATGCTCAGTTGCACTCCGTTTGGCCCTGTCACTCTGGTTCAGATTCAGTGGTGTTGGACTGCTGCCCGGCTGGTTGTTTGACACTGGATTTATAGGCTCAGCACGTGCGCGTGATATGGCATTAGCACACGGTTGTTGGCAGTTTTTCCAGTATAAGCAGTGTTTTTAACAGTTGGAGCAATACTTTAGCTTTAGCTTCGATACGAGATCATCATGCCAGAACGCCATTTCACTTTACAGCTGAGACGAGATCCAGTGTTGGAGTTCGGAGTAGTTGTAGCTTACAGATTAGGCAAAACAGAACACTATTATTTTAGCCAGCCATACACGCAGGAACGTGAAAGAGCCGCGCTCACGAGGAAACGGAGGAGGAATTTATAAAAAAAATGGAAGCGGAGGAGAAGTTCAGGTCATCAGGTGTCCTGATCATGCCAACTAGCAGTAACACAGGCATCCATATCCTTTGGGAAGTGACTAAGAGCAGTCCCAATGATATGTTGATAATGGTTTTATCCTTATTAAATGACTTGCCACATAGACAAAATGCTGACATGGCAACGTAATTAATGAAGAAAGAGAGCAAAAATCTTAGAAATGGTTTCCTCATGAAGAAATCAGGTCTTCTCTTGACCCAATGCACCAAGAAACCATGAAATCGCCATCGGAAACAAACCTGCACCAAGAAACCATGAAATCGTCATTGGAAAGAAACCACCAGTTTGTAGGGGCTCGTGCCGCACTCTCATTGGAGGACGAAGATAGAGTTGAGAGAGAGAAGAAAAAAATAATTATTACTCATAAAAATTATAGATTAAAAAGCAATATTTTTTTTAGAGCGGTATCCTATATTATAAAAACTACTCGTTTTTTTTTTTATTGGAACTGCCCGGGTGTTTGCTCGTCCGCATGCCACCCGGCCAGGCCCGTCTCGTCTGATGCAGGTGGAGCGCGTTTGGTTGCCTGGATGTGCTGCCGGGACAGGCCGAGCTCATGCAAAAGAGCCATGCGAGCCGAGCCCAAGGAGAACGCGAGAATCGGGCCTATCTGGCGAGCCAGGCTCGCACCGTGCAGGATTAGCACAACTAATGACGTCATTAGCACATAATTAGTGAATATTAAGTGATTTTAAAACAAATTAATGTTGTATAAGGTCAATCAAATTTTAATATGATATAATATCATAAATAATTAATATTTTAGTATTTATTTTGACACATTCATGTTACATGATTTATACTCGTACGAACAACCAAACTGCATCTCTTTCGAACAGTATACCAAACGGCCCAGAAAAATCCATGGGTCGTTTTGCTTACCTGCAGCTGGTGGCCTGCCAAAAGAAGATCCTATAGCAGCATAAAAAGTTCATTTTACCTTCCTAAACTATTCTTCAAGTTTAGTTTTTCTCTTTGAACTCGAAAACTAGGTAAACCATCTTCCTCAACTTTTAAAACCGTTTATTTTACCTCCCTAACCCTGTTATAGGTGGTTTTCAAATGTGGTTTTGTCTTTTTTTAAAATTTATTTTGGCTAAATATTTAAAAATCATAGTAAATCATAAAAAATCATAAAATAAAAAATTCAATTTTGTTGAACTCTGTATGAGTATATCTACACATTAAATATATAATATGGTATGATTTAGTACAATTTTTGTTGTTGTAGCTTTAGATCTATACTTTTCTCTAATTAATTCATAGCTGCAGTTTCTATGGTCCAATTATGATGAAATTTTTATCATTGTCTCATTATTGTATGCTTTAATTGTAGTAAAAATTTCATACTCGTTTCTAATTTTACACACTTTTAACTATTTTAAAACTATTTAACAAGCATAAAAATAAATAAATCTATAACTCGGTTATACATGATCCAATGAGCATGAAATTTTTATTACACTTTAACCATATAATAATTAGCCCACCATAAAAAATACAACACAATTGGATCATAGAAACTCAAGCTTTGAATTAATTACTAAAATCATAGACATACAGTTTCAGCAAAAACTTTGTACTAAAGCATACCATATTATATATTCACTATGTATATCTACTCATGTGGAGTCAAAGAAAATTGGAGTTTCCATTTTATGATTTTTATGTGATTTCAAAAATTCAGCCAAAATAAATAAAAAAGAAAAAGACAAAACCGTCTTTGAAAACCACCTATAACCGGGCCACAGAGGTAAAATGAACGGTTTTAAAAGTTGAGAGAGGTGATTTATCTGTTTTGGAGTTCAGGAAGAAAAAATAGGCTTTAAGGATAGTCGAGGAAAGTAAAATGGACTTTTTCCTACAGCGACGGACGCCCGCAAAAGGCCCGTGGGTCGAAAATGTAACCTACAGAGTAAGCCCTTGTAGTACCAATTTTCTCTTCTTTTGTAATTTGTGATGAAGTACCGCAGTTTCGTGAATCATGACGATGAATGATGAAACAGACGTGAAAGATTTCCTTCGAGCGAGGCCAAGATATTGGAGGAGAAGGCGTCGTCGCCGAGCATGGCACGATCGAGCGAGGCCATGGCGCCATGCAGACCGCCAGCGATGGATCCGGTATTCCGGTGTCCAAGGCGATCGAATATGCGATGGATCAGGCTTCGTGGAACCAACGTGTATATATGAATTATTAGTTCATCAATCATCATCATGTATAGGAAATGAAGGTCAAACGAACGGGCAGGTCTGATACCCTGATCCAATCAGTTACGAGTTTGTTTGCATTGTTTTCTCAGAATCGGGAATCCTATTCCTAGAATGCTAGGTCGCGTATGGACATTTGTCATGTTCGCTTGGCTGATAAGCTATGGCTGAAAGTATTGTTGGCTGATTTGTTACGAGAGAAAAATATCGTTCGTTGATTGAAAAAGTACAGTTTATAAGCCAAGCGAACAGGGCGATTGTGTTCACGTTACTTGATTCGCTTGCTTGATCGAGTGGCCACGCCAGGTAGGCGAAGAGATGATAGATCTCAGGGGGACATGAAACGAAAAAAAGAGAGTAGTATGTTCTTATTTGGCGTTATCAACTGAAAGTTTGGTCTACGAAATTAACCAACGATCCAGAGTTTGTCAGTGTAATAATACTGTCCTAACAATATTCATCGCATAGTAGTTATTAATCAAAATAATAGTAAAAGGGTCGTTCACTGGATTTTGTAACAAGCGTACAGTGTACTCTTGAAGGTCGTCATGCATGCAATTGAAGGATTGTCTATGAGGCACTCACGAGTTCTGCCAAACTGCACTGAGCACCCGATTTTTTTTTTTTTTTTGTGCGACACAAATTCAACTTCTTCCTTTTTTTCCGAAACTAGTTCAACTTCTTTCTCATTTCAAAACGATCCTTCCAGTTGGTCTCCGTCTCCTTTCTGAGCTTTGTTATTCTTTTTTCCTCGCATGATCCCATCCGCCAAAAAGGAAAAAAAAATGACCTGAGCAATGCACTGGAAGGACTATGGTTGTGATTTTCAAATCCAACCCACAACATAATAAATTGTTGGAAACACCCGATTTTGTATGAATCGAGGCACTAAGGATTATGTGCCTGTTTGGCACTGCTCAACAGTTTCATGATTTGTTGTGAGTTTTTTTTTTTTTGCCAAACACTCATATTCAAAACGGTTTCATGGGTGAAGTTGTTTTTCTCCTCATCTCACAGAGACATGAGTTGGGATGAAGCTAAAAATAGTAGCTTACCCCAGCTCTGTCCCTGATGAGCTGTTGATGAAGCTATTTTGTCAAACTTTTTTTTTTCAAAACAGCTTAGCTTCACTAAAAAGCTGCTCGTGGAGTTATTTTCCAAAAATACAGTTTCACTAGTAAAGCTGAGCTGTGCCAAAGAGGCCATATATGTGGTTGCCTATATAGGCTTGTTTTTGACTAAAAATGACAAAGTCGCTTTATTAAATACAGTGCCACCAGGTTAATTAACCTTCGTACCGGACAGCGCTGATGGCTGTGAACACATAACAGGTCTCCAATCGCAAAGGTAAATCACATACGCACACATCACATGTATCGATCGATCTACATGCGTTTTACAAACGGCAGCCATAAACTTGGAATCAGAAGACAGGCAACTTAACCCGGTCGGTGCACTTGGTGGGCATGGCGAGCGGGCAGTCGATGAGGTCCTTGGCGTCCCGGTCCACGCACTGGTACACCTGGAACAGCTGCGCCTCGCCGTCCGCGTCGCGGTTGCACTCCAGGTTGGCCACGAACCCGGTCCCCTGCGCGATGGCGTCCCTGACGCTGCTCACCGGGTACGTCTCGGTGTCCGACGGCACGATCCCGGCGTCCGCGAGGATCTCCGCCAGGTCGTGCTTGGCCTTGAGCGCCAGCGCGCGAGCGAAGTAGTCGTGCGGCTCCAGGTTGGAGCAGGTGCCGTGCTTCTTCCACTCGTAGCTCCAGAACTGGAAGCTGCGCCGGTTCTTGCACGACAGCGTCGGCCAGCTCCGGTCCAGCGACGCCACCAGGTCCCGGATCTCCCACGGGCTCAGCTCGTTGCCGTCGTCGCAGTACTCCGGCCAGCACTTGCCCCGCCGCCCCACGGTGGAGAGGAAGGCGTCGTCGCCGAGCATCGCGCGGACGAGGCCCTGGCGGCCACGGCACTTGGCGTAGTTGGGCCACAGCCCGTGGATGCCGAACGCCGCCGCCGGCTTCGTGTCATCCGGGAAGCAGCAGCCCTGCCGCGTGTCGCAGAACGAGCCCGGCCACTGCATGAATGCCATCAACGAGGGAGGAAGCCAGGAACACATGTTAGATTAGATATATTCGTCGTCGTCGCTGGATTAAAATCACGAGAGGCCGATCGATCGGTCGATCTCCGGTCACGACACGCATGATGCATCACCTGTTGAACAAGGTAGAAGAAATCGAACTTCTCCGAGGCGGAGGAGACGGCGAGGAGAGAGAACAACACCAAGAAGGCGATCACAAGCTTCATCCTTGCCAATTGGCGATTTCCCTGCGACCAAGTTGTTGTGTAGCTGCAGCGAGCTATTCGACCAGCTAATGCTTATATACTACTCGGTATAATGTAGTACATTGTATTGCAAGAACATGACCACACACATGCCAACATGACGTGTCTATCTAAACATCTATCTTTATATGCAAAAGCATTAAATAATACAACTATGTGCCAATTAGTATCCTGCATACGTAATTAAGATATTGAGTTGGATCCGGTCCAGGGCGAATATGCTATGCTAGCTGTGGATCAGGCTTCAGGCTTCGCAGAAACAGCGTGAGTTCTTGTAGAAAACGGGCAGAGGCTAGCCCAATCAGTTACGAGTTCGGTTGCATTGTTTTTTATCGGAATTCGGAAATTTTAGGTCATGTTGTGTGAACGCGTGTGCTCATGGTACGTAGTACACTGAACTAGTCCTTGGTCATGTTACTTCCTTATTGGCCACGCCAGGTGGTTGAAGAAATAATGGATCTGAACAGGTAATGCACTGCAAAAATGAGTATAGTTTTGCCAACTTGCAGTGAAATGTGAAACTGCCACACCACATAACCAACGTACTCTGTTTTTTGAATTGAGAAGATTATATAGGTCTAAATAAACAAGTGCCAGTTAAATTAAATATGTTTACTTCTGTACTTGCCAGGAATACGACACAGGTTTAAGCTTAAAACAATGACAACCTGGGCACCGGGTATACGTCAATGCCGGCCACTACTTGTCTTCATGTACGTTGGTTGGTTGGAAGTACGCCATATTATTGGACGCAGGAGTTGACTAGACGAGTTATTCCATGATTGAACATACTTTTATTACTGTGGATGTTGAGATCGCCACGAAGGAAACAGTGCGTGTTCTCGCATTGGTAGTGTTTTTACCTTGATGTTACCATAACAGTACAAGTAACTGAAGTGCTTTGAAAGACCTGTATGCTATAGTTTAAATAATTATATTCTAAATCAGGAGCAATGAGTCAAGATGGCCGAGTTGGTCTAAGGCGCCAGTTTCAGGTACTGGTCCGAAAGGGCATGGGTTCGAATCCCATTCTTGACAACTGTTTTCTATTTGTCTCTATTTTTCCTTTTGCAGTTCAGAAACCTTAGAAGTTGAGGTGGTACAACTGTTTTTATTTCTCTCTATTTTTCCTTTTTAGTTCATGCAACTTTGTTTTTTTATTTGTCTCTATTTTTCCTTTTGCAGTTCAGAAACCATAGAAGTTGAGGTTGTAACCATTTCCTTCCTTTTTCAACAAAATATACGACTTTCCTGATTGGCAAACCTCTGCTCCAGAAATGAAATACCCATACTGCTTCGCCCTTGTTTTCTCTTCAAGTGTGGCCGAGTAGCACTCGCAGTAGCTTCACTAGAACATGCTTCCAAGCGAGCTCCAGCATCTTCAGTTAGCTAAAACATTGCTCCATAGTACTTACCCAGCGTGTAAACTTGAATGACATTGAAAGTGCCTTGAGAATAATTGTTTTGATGCTCACCAAGAAAGTGTGCAACTTTGTACTCTTTTGTGACAGGGTGAAACCCAAAACGGTAGAAAGAGAAGTGGCCGCCCTTCAATTTCTTTTGCAGGTTTGTCAAGATGCAGGCATTCAGCAGTTGCAAGGTTAGCCCATTGCCTTTGTGCATAAGCATGGAAGCCCATTGCATGAGCCGCAACGAAAACAATCCGGCCCAATTAATGGCACGGCCGACGTTGACTGTGACTAGGCTTGACTCTTGAGGCCTCATCGAAGATGATAGCCTCACTAGGGTGATGCGAGCACCAATCCGGAGCTGGGATCACTAAACAAAGCGCGGGTTCTTCCTAGCGCCCTGACCCGTCGAACCCTAGCGCCCTGACCCCGCCGCCAACGCCGCCGCCGCGCCCGCAGGGCCCTGCCGCTGCCGCCCCCGGCCTCCAGCCCGTCGAATCTGACGGCCCACTGGTGGCAGGCGCCGGATCTCGGGCCTCATCACTAGCTGGCGCTGAGAACCCCACCCCCCCAGCCATCACCGACGAACGCGGCTTCCACCGGCGCCGGGGCGGCTCACGCTGACAGCTTGGCCGCTCCACCGCCGCCTCTTCCCGTGGAGCCCGCGCCAACGTCGCCGGGGGATGTGGACGCGTCCACCGACGCCGGGGCGGCTCACGTTGACAGCTCGACCGCTCCACCGTCGCCTCCTCCAGTGGAGCCCGCGCCAACGCCTCTAGGGGATGAGGACGCCGCCACGGATGCCACCACGGCCGCACCGCTAACGGCCGAGGGGGCCAGCTCTGGCGCTTCGTCCCCTCCACCACTAGGGCTGGATGCCAGCAACGCCGCGGCCACGCCCAGGCCTTGGGGGTACCGGCACGGCGTCGCTTGACGCCTCAAGCTCCTCCCTCTCGCCGGCCGCGTCACCGTTCTTCCCCGGATGCTCCTCGGGAGGCCTTTCGAAGAGCCGGCGGTGGGCGGACGACGACAACGAGGAGACCGATGACGACCACCCCGCGACATACCTGGAGGCCGCTCGTCACACGGCGAAGCCGGCCTCAGCGTCCCCCGTGCACCCCCAGACTCGTTCAGCCTTAGTTTTGGGGCGCCGTGGAGCGGATGTTGGATAGGGGCCTTTGCAAGGCCGTGCTGGTGCTGAACTGGGCCGACAGGGACATGGTCGTAGGCGGAGGAAGTGCAGTCGGCCACGCTCGTAGCTGGTGAACGGCTTGCCTGTTCGGCCAGTGGATGGTCGTGTCCCTGCCTGCCAACGCCTCGGCCGCCGTGGACGGGTCTCCGCCCCCAACATCAATGGGTGCCGTGAGATCCTCCCCTGGCAGGTCACATGATCTGCTGCTGCCTCAACGGAGCCTCGCCCCAACCAAAAGCAACTTTCGCAGGTCAAGAAGATCTCGGCAGAGCTTCACGGTAGATGCTTTAACTGCCTCTCCTACTCGTACCGAGTAGCGACTTGTCGGTTGCCACGGCGTTGCCTGCGCTGCCGCGGATTCGGACACCTCGCCAAGGACTGCAGGCAAAGGACTGCTTCGACCTCGGCGGCGGTGGGTGCCAACCGGCCACGGTACTCTACTCACAACGACCCTATGTCCTCCCAGCACGCGCCGTGCAGCGGTGCGGAGGGTGCCGCACGGGGGGCCGTGGGGGAGCCGGTGGGAGACGACGACGACATCGGCGACGCAAGACTAAGCCGAAGGAGATCAGCACGGGTGCGCCTGCCGACCACGCCGACAAGGCACCTACTTATACTGCTACACTATGTTTCCCTGAGCCAGATCCGGTGGCGGTGGCGATGTGCGTGAGTGCGGGGCCTCCCACATTTGTCATATCTTTTGACCCGATGCTGGAGGAGCTCGCCGCCTCGCTCGTCGTGAGCCGGCCAATGAGAGCAGCAACACCTGAGTGTCTGCCTGCTACTACAGCCCATCAGGAGGTTGAAGCACCAATGGCGGACACCTGTTCCCCGGCGACGGCTGCTCAGTGGACGACAGACTTGTCTTTGATGTCGCCAGTGCAAGGGCCGCCACAACTCACGCCACCACGAGCGGGAGCACCCGGCGTCGCAGATGGTTGCACCACACCCAGCGACGCGACGCCCACACCACGCGAAGCTGCCCGACGTCTCATATGGTTCACTGAGGAGGTGCAGCTCGAGCGAATGTCGTCATTAATCACCAGCCCACCCAGGCAGAAGGTGGCAACCATAAGGCAACCCCTGCCAAAACGGTGCAGACGGATTGCCGCTCAGCCGCTGGCGTACATTCCGACCTCTAAGTGGGGCGAGGTGCTCCTCAGGCAGAGGATGGGCTTTGCACCGCCGGCAGCTCCAATCTTATCTGCGTCCAAGCGAGCTTACGACAACTTTTTCGCAAGGAACTTGACGTCGAGCGAAGTGGAAGCACTGGACGTGCTGTTCCCGGCGACCAATGCTAGGACTAGTAGAAAACTCTTCTCGGATGACGGAGCAGGATCGCGCGGCCAGCAGCGGAGACACCCAGCTCCGTAGGTTACTGTGATGTTCTTAATTCGGTTGTTTACTTTTACGTAATATCGAAGTTTAAAACAGTCTGCTAGGAAGGTCCAGTCACAACTGTAAGACCTCCTAGGGCGCTCATTAGAAGCGTGTCATGTGTATGATTAAACTCTTCTTCTTAATTACAATGATACACAGATCTTTTGCGTATTCGAGAAAAAAAAAGATAGCCTCACTAGGGTGTGTGCGCGCTAAGCTCTCCATTGGCAATGATGTTAGAAGTTTAGAGAGAAGGCAACGGCGAGAGAGATGTCCACGTCTTAGTACCATACAATCATCCCTCTCAAAAGAGTAATTAGGGGCGTTCTAGATTATGAAGCATCAGCTAGCAGGGCTTTCATTCCGTGCATTGTCTTCCTGATCGAACTTATTGGGCCTGTTTGGCAGGGCGGAAAAATACTGTTCCGGCTGATTGTTGTGAGAGAAAAATACTGTTCTGGCAGGACGTGGACAGTGATTGTCGAGCTCATCATTGCAGTTGGCAGCAGCAGCCACGTTTTCTTCGCTGCTAATGCTATGCTAGTACAACTACAAGTAGTTCCACCAATCACTAAATCTGTTTGACAGTTCGTAGAGCCACCGCGTGCTGCTATCCGAATTAATTAAAAACCCCTCTCACCTATGCCTTCAGCTCTCAAACTAGTTTCAGAATTCAGACCTGTCGGGTAGACACAATTAGTAAGTTTTTTGACTGACAGATTGCTCAACTTCCACTTCTTCTGGCCCATAGAACTTCTATAATAGAATTGGTTGATTGATACTCATCAATCAGTGCTGCAATCCGTTGTTTATAAGGAGATGTACAATATGTACAAGTAGTTTTACTATCAAGTATCAACCACAGATTCAGAGTTGAAGTTTGACAACTGAAGATAAGTATGCACTTTCGCTAATATGATGTTATCGGATAGCACAACCTCAAACTAAATAATGCAAGTGGCCAAGTGGGTACCCAATGG